AATTAATAATATTTAACTATTATACTTAATCTAATAACTTTATATATTTTATATTTATAAAATAAAACTTCTTAAATCGATTTAAATATAAATATATATCTATAAAAATATTACTACTCTAATAAAAGAGGCTTTTTATTCTAGAATCTATATTAAATTAAAAATTATATCTCTACGCTCGATAGCTTTAATTTCTATAGTTACTATTAATATTATAACTAAATTCATATAATAATAATACGCCTTTCTTATTAATGAGTATTTTTATATTCGATAGCTTTAATTCTTATAATTACTATTAATATCGCGACTAAATTTATATAATAATAGTATATCTTTCTTATTAGCGAATATCTCTATATTTAATAACTTTAATTTCTATAATTACTACTAATATCGCGACTAAATTTATATAATAATAATATATCTTTTTTATTAGCGAGTATCTCTATATTCGATAATTTTAATTCTTATAGTTATTATTAATATCGCGATTAAATTTATATAGTAATAGTATATCTTTCTTATTAGCGAGTATATTAATAATTATAAATAGCTAAAATATAATAGAAAATAGTAAATAATCTTTAATAATATTTAATTCTAAATCTATAGCTTCTTTATCTTATTTAAGAATAAAAATATTTATATCTAGAATTTAAAATAAGTATATTTTAATATATAGTTATTAAATATCTAGATATAAATCTTTTAATTAAAAAATTAATTTCTTTAGAGTTAATTAATATAATTATAATAATAATTAAAAGTATAATTATTATATTATATAGCGTAATTTAATAGATTAAATTTAATAGATTTCGCTAATATAACGCTAGATAAATTTTAAAATATTAAAATTATAAATAGAAATTCTCTCTTTCTTTCTTTCTTAGCATCTTAAATATTTTCTCTTATCGATATTTTATACTATAATTATTTTATCTTATTTATCTTAATTTAATTTAATAATAATATATTATTAATAATTATTAATTTTAATAGCGATTTTATTATACTATTATTATATAGAGATAATAATATTAATCTATATATTAAATCGATTTATTTAGAAGATAATATAGATCTTAATAATATAAATAATAATATAAATAATTAATTAAATAATTATCTATTTAATCTTTATATTAAAACTTTAAATTAAAAGAAAATCTTAAAATCTTCTAATTATAAAAAGATAATTATAAAAAAAATTAAATAGAGTAAGTCTTTAATTATTCGCGCTTTCGATATAAAGATCGTAAGAAAAAATATATCGAGGTCTTTATTTATAAAGATTAAAAATCGATATTAAAAATAAGAAAATAAGTATAGTAATATAATATATTAATAAGTAATATATATATATATAATTAATAATATTTTAGCTATTACTTTATAAGAGATTAAAAAATATTAGAAATTAATTAATTTACTTTTTTTAAAAAGACCTTTTACTTATATAGTATAAGAGATTATTAATATAATATTACTATCTTATTATACTATACAAATTTAGATTTTTATATTAAATATATTATAAGAAGCTATTAAAATAACTTTAATATCGAAATTTTATTATATATTAGCTTTTTATTAAGTTATTATTTTATTAATAAATTATATAGTTAATAATCTTTACGCTATTTATAATAAAAGAGTTATATTAATAATTAAGAATATAAAATTTATATAAATAATATATTAATATATAATAAGAGAAAGTGCGTAAATAATAAAAATAAGATAGTTAAAAATATTTTATTTAGATAGAAGAGAGTTAAAATACTTAATATAGAATAGAATTCTAATTATCTTTCTAATTATTAAAAAATATATGAATTTATTCTTCTAATAATAGTCTCTTTATATTTTCTTTATTAATAAGAACTTCTTATTTAAATAAATACGTAATTAATAATTTTAATATAAAATATAAGATCTCGAATTTTTAAACTTTAAAATATTATAAGTTAAATAATAGTTATAAATAATCTTAATATAAATTAGATTAGAAGTAAGAATCTAAATATAATCTATATTATTAATAAGAAGATTATTAAGAAAGAGATAGCACTTAACGTTAATTTATATAAATAAAATATAGTCGAACTATAAAACGCGCTTATAAATTAAATAAGAATTCGAATAATTTATAAATATAGATTTTTTCTACGAAAGCTTATTAAGATAATCTATAAGAGTATAAAATCTCTATTATCTTTATATTCTTATATTTTATATTCTTATATTATTAATAGCTTTATCTATAAAAATATTTAATAAAATAAAAATATCGAGATTAAAGATTAATTAATAAATATTTTTTTCTAATTTATAAAAGTACGCTTAAAATTTAATTAGATATCGAGAATTAGAAATTTATACTTAATTATTATAAAGTATTATTTTAGCTCTACGCGAAGTTTAAGATTTAAGATCTAAATTATAAAATTAGCTATATCTATTACGCGTATAAAAGAGAGAAGAAATATCGAATATAAGTAAATAAAGAAACGCTTAAGATATAATAATAATTATTTTAATAAAGGATTTTAAGCGATAGTATTAATTGCGTATATATATCGAAAGTATAAAATAAGATTTTAAATTCTCGAATTTTATAGTATCGTAAGCTAAATAATAGTTATAAATAAATTTAATATAAATTAAATTAGAAGTAAGAATTTAATATAATAACGAAAATTTAAGATATTATTTATAAAATCGAAAAAAAAAATTAAAAAGTTAAGAAAGAAAGATAAGAATAAATTTAATAAAAATATTAAAGCTAATAAAAAGAAAGATTTAAAGAAAAACGTATATCTAATAAATATAAATATTTAAGATATAAATCTTAATTAAGAAGTATTATCTATTTCTAAATATATCTATAAATAAAAAGTATTTATTATATAAAAAAGATATTATAACTAAAAAGAACTATATCTTAAAATTAACTATAACTCTTAATAAAAATATTAAAGAGGCTTATAAGATAGATAGCGTAAATAGCTAAAAATTTAATAATATAAAATTATTACTTCGCTATTACTAAGTATAAAAAATAATTTTTATAAAGAATTAAGAGATTAATAATAAAGAGTTATTAGATAATATATTAGTAAGTCTATTATCTCTTAATTATTTTAAAAAAAATTTATAAACTCTAAAAATTAGCGTTTGATATAAAAAAAAGAATTTATATTATAGAATTCTAAATATCTTTTTAATTAATAGATAGCGAAATCTATTATAATCTCTTCTTTTAAGCTCTTATACTTAAATATTTATATCTTAATAATAAGAATAAAAAGCGATTCGAAATTTTACTATTATAGTTATTAATTATTATTTAAAAGATCTCTTTTATTCTATCGTTATCTTTATTTAACTTTTATCTATTTAGTATATAATCGTAATTTTTTAATTACTATTTAGTCAAGCTTAATAAATCTAAAAAATTATTATTATTTATATTAAATTATTATATTATTAAATTTCTTTATACTACGCGCTTAGTCTTATTAAAATAAATATATAAAGATAATAAATTAAATTTTAATTAATTAATCTAGATAATTTTTAATATACTTTTATTAAAGAGAGAGTAATAAATAAAAAAAGTATTTATTATAGAATTCGTCTATATATAATTATATATTTTTCTAATCTAAAAATTATAAATTAATAATTTTATATACGCGAGAAATAATAATAATATATCTTATAATCGATTTTAGAAGAATAATTCTATATTATAAAATCTCTATACTTATATATTTTAATTATATAATAAAATTTATAGTCGTAAGAGTTAATATATATTATTTTCGCTTATAAAGACTAATAAGCTCTTTATTAAAATTTTTAAAGTATTATAAGAATAAAAAGTAATCTTTATTTATAAGATTATTTAATTATATTAAATAATCTAATTAATAGCTTTAAGTTATTATCTAATAATATACTTATCTCTTATTCTTTCTCTTTTTTTATTTATCTTAAAATTATAAGATAGATAAGATTATTTAATATTTTCTTCTCTATTAAATCTTCTTATTATAAGATTATACTCTTATTATTATTAATAATACTTTTCTATTTTTAATTATCTAGAGTCTAGACTTAATTATATAGCTAATATAAATATATACTTTCTCTCTAAAATATTAAATAAAAAAATTATATATATTAATATCTAATAATATTATAATATAATTAATCTTATTATTTATAAAAGTATATATCTTTAACCTCTTATAATATCTTTTTCTACTTCTCTAAATTTATACTTTTAAATCTATCTATATTTTTAACTTTATCTCTTATAATTAATATTATATTAAAATTAATATTATATACTTTTTATAAGCGAGCTCTAAATAAATTATATACTTCGAGAGTTATTATATATCGATAAGATTTAATAATATAAGAATTCTAAAAGAGCTCTTCTACTACTTTATACTTATAATTTTTAATATTAATTAAATAATTATAAAATCTTAATAGCGATAGAAATAAGAAGAATTTAATTAAAAGATTATTATCGCGAAGTATTTACTAAAAATTATCTATATTATTCACTTCTATATATATAATTAAAATTATAAATTTAATTTTATTTTATAATAATAGAGAATTTTATCTTTTACTTTTAATAATAGATTATTTATAATTCTATTATTATTTATCTTCTCGCTATATAAAATTATTATTATACAAGTAAAGGCCCATGAATTAAATTCATGGAGTTGGATTTTTCTAAGTCAAATCGAACTCTAATCGCTTGCTGTGCGTTTTTAACCTACATACAGACACATATATACGGAGAGAGGCGCGCTAAGGCCTAATTAGGAAGGTGTATCGAGTGTGGAAGATTGATCCGTAATAATTGCCCACAAAAAACAGAGAAAGGCCATGTCCTTATGGCAAGAAGTCTCGAAATACCGGAAAGAAATGGAGACAACATGCCAATTAGTGGTGTGAATCCCACATTATCTCCTGCCGCAGTGAAATCTTTCGAATAATGAAATAGCTGTCAGAGCAAGACATCGGACGGTTTCAATTCGTCCAAATATGCATCGTTCCGGAGTGATGATTTGATGTGGAACCGTGGAGAGCATATGAGGTGGGATCTTGGAGAGCTGAGCCGTGTTCTTGACGATGGTGGCCTTATTGCCGCTTAGTTTCTCCGCAGTGTTCTCCGCATTTGCCTGTTGTAGTTCCTCCTCTTGCTCCTCAATGCAGTGGGGATGATAGGCTAAGTTGCAGTGGTGTTCTCCGCTTGTTGAGTGATGATTTGATATGGAACCGTGCTTGGTGCTGGGGGCCTTGTTGCCGCTTGGTTTCTCCGCAGTGTTCTCCGCATTCGCCTGCTGTAGTGACTTCTCTTGCATTGGCTGAGTGGATTGGTGTGAGACCGTGGAGAGTAGGCCTGTTGTGTCACTGCTGCTGATGACTGTCTCCGCAATATTCTCCGCATTTACCTGCTGCAGTGGTTCCTCCTCTTACTCCGTACTGAGTATCGGGCTGGTGTGAGACCGTGGAGAGTAGGCCTGTTGTGTCACTGCTGCTGATGACTGTCTCCGCAATATTCTCCGCATTTACCTGCTGCAGTGGTTCCTCCTCTTACTGAGTATCGGGCTGGTGTGAGACCGTGGAGAGTAGGCCTGTTGTGTCACTGCTGCTGATGACTGTCTCCGCAATGTTCTCCGCAGTGTTCTCCGCATTCGCCTGTTGTAGATCCTCCTCTTGTTCAACTGAGTGCGAGGGTACCGAGGGTAAATGTGTTCATATTGGTGGAATTGGTAGAATTGGTAGAGTGGTGGAAGAATAATGGTTACACAAACAGGTGGAAGGATTATTATGATGTGACTACCATATTTGAATGTCAGTTTAACCCACCAATAGTAGGCCAAACTTCATAATTTTTACATCGTTAGAAAGCGCAAACTGAGCTCTATAATTGACGAAATTATGAAGTAACAGCATCCTTAGGAAGCTCGTTATTTCAGAGTGTAAGACTTCTGCACATAGATTTTTGATGGTTGCGGACGCTAATTTATTTACCCGTGGTGTCTAACCAAAAAGCGTAGACCTGACGAATTGATGATTGGCTGCACATACAAATTCAAGGTTTTCTAGTTCAGCCCTATCTTATTCTTTTATATATACTGATTAATTTTATAGTATATATATTTACTAGATCTATAAATAATAATATTTAAAAGATATTCTATAAGAAGAAAATAAAATATAACTTCTAAATATCTTTCTAATTATCTTTCTAATTATTATAATATTATAATAAAAAAAAAAAAAAAAAAGAAGTAGTATATAAAAAGCTTATTATTCTTATCTTAATTTATAGCGCTCGCGTAAAACTTAAAATAATAATTAATATTATAAAATTATAATATTTTTAAATAAAGAAGAATAAAATAGATATAATAAAAAACTTAAAGAAGAATTTAAATTTAAATTTAAAGAAAAGTTTACGAGTTTAATTATACGCTAATAAGTTAGTTAATAATTAATAATTAATTCTATTAATATATATAATAGAATAAAATAAAGCTAAATTTAAAAATCTTAAATTTATATATATAGCTAATTATAAATTTAGAGTTACTATACTCTTTAATTAAATTAATTAAATTATTATAAATAAATAAATTAGTATTTATAATTATAAAAAAAATATAATTAAATAGCCTTAATTAAAAAATAGATATATATTATTTAATTTTAAAATAACTTTTTTATTTTCTATTAAAATTTTAAGATTTCTTTCTAAAATTATAAAATAAAATAAGAACTTTTAAATAAAAAAAGAATTTTTATATTTAATCTAATAATTATTAAAGCGTAAGAAATTTAAATATTATTTATTAAAGTTCGCTCGATAGCCGAATAACCCGCTTATTAAAATTCGATTATTAAAGATTATTTATTTATTTACTTAATAGTCTTAATTAAAAAAATAATTATAAATTTAATTTATAGGCCTTTACTTATAAAAAATATAATATCTTATAGATTTTAATAGAATCTTTTATTTTTTAAGATAATAATAGAAATTTATTATTAAATATAATACTTATTAATTAAATAAGAAAATAAGATATTTAAATTATACTTATAATACTTATAATTTTATAATAATAAATTTTTTTTATAATTTAATAGAATATAATTTTTAATATAATATAATTTTTTAAAAATATAAATTAAATATTTTATATAGTATTAATTATAAAGATAATTAGAATTCTAAATCGAATATAAATCTAAGATTAATATAATAAATAAATATCTAATAGATTTTAATTAAAATCTTTTATTTTCTAAGATAATAATAAGAATTTATTATATAAATATAGTATTTATTAATTAAATAAGTAAGTATAATAAATATATTTCTATATTAAAACTATTATTATAATACAAGTAAAGGCCTATGAATTAAATTCATGGAGTTGGATTTTTCATTTTTCTAAGTCAAATGGAGTTGGATTTTTCTAAGTCAAATGGAATTTTAGCCCTAGCCCTAAGTCAAATCGAACTCTGATCGCTTGCTGTGCGTTTTTGACCTACTTCCACCACTACAAAATTAATTTGATTTATGTGATATATAGGTATATATGTGCGGAGAGAGGCGCGCTAAGGCCTAATTAGGAAGGTGTATTGAGTGTGGAGGATTAATCCGTAATAATTGCCCATAAAAAATAGAGAAAGGCCATGTTCTTATGGTAAGAAGTATCGAAATATCGGAAAGAAATGGAGACAACGTGCTAATTAGTGGTGTGAATCTCATAATATCTTCTGCCGCAGTGAAATTTTTCGAATAATGAAATAGCTGTAGACATCGGATGGTTTCAATTCGTTCAAATATGCATTGGAGAGCATATGACGTGGGATCTTGGAGAGCTGAGCCGTGTTCTTGGTGCTGGGGGCCTTGTTGCCGCTTGGTTTCTCCGCAGTGTTCTCCGCATTTGCCTGTTGTAGTTCCTTCTCTTACTCCTTCTCTTGTAGAGTATCAGACTGAGTGGCTAGCTGAGTGGCTGACTGAGTGAATAACTGATATAACGTGGGATCTTGGAGAGCTGAGCCGTGTTCTTGACGATAGTGGCCTTGTTGCCGCTTGGTTTCTCCGCAGTGTTCTCCATAGTGTTCTCCGTAGTGTTCTCCGCATTTGCCTGTTGTGGTTCCTTCTCTTACTTCTTAATGCAGTAGGGATGACAGGCTAAGTTGCAGTGGTGTTCTCCGCTTGCTGAGTGATAATTTGATGTGGAACCGTGGAGAGCATATGATGTGGGATCTTGGAGAGCTGAGCCGTGTTCTTGATGCTGGGGGCCTTGTTGCCGCTTGGTTTCTCCGCAGTGTTCTCCGCATTTGCCTGTTGTAGTTCCTCCTCTTACTCCTTAATGCAGTGGGGATAACAGGCTAAGTTGCAGTGGTGTTCTCCGCTTGCTAAGTGATAATTTGATGTGGAATCGTGGAGAGCATATAACGTGGGATCTTGGAGAGCTGAGCCGTGTTCTTGATGCTAAGGGCCTTGTTGCCGCTTGGTTTCTCCGCAGTGTTCTCCATAGTATTCTCCGCAGTATTCTCCGCATTTGCCTGTTATAGTTCCTCCTCTTACTCCTTAATACAGTGGGGATAACAGGCTAAATTGTAGTGGTGTTCTCCGCTTACTAAGTAATGATTTGATATAAAACCGTGAAGAGCATATAACGTGGGATCTTAGAGAGCTAAGCCGTGTTCTTGATGCTAGAGGCCTTGTTGCCGCTTGATTTCTCCGTAGTATTCTCCGTATTCGCCTGCTATATTAACTTCTCTTACACTGGCTAAATAGATTAATGTGAGACCGTGGAGAGTAGGCCTATTATATTACTGCTGCTGATGACTATCTCCATAGTATTCTCCGCTTATTCGCCTATTATAGATCCTCCTCTTATTTAATTAAGTGCGAGAATATCGACGCGTTTATAAGCAGTAGTAGGTAACTGTTAAGCTCGCTTGCGGCCTCGATTACCAGCAGTAGCGAATTCGCCGAGAAGTAGCCTAAGGGCGTTAGTAGGGGGTTTAAAAGACGGGCGAAAGGAATACGTGCCTAAACCGGACGCGTTTGGTGTGACTACAATATTTGAATATTAGTTTAATCCACCTATCGCTGGCTTGAGAGGAGTATATAGAGGAGAACATATCCGTTCGGGCTCTTTTTAAGGGTCTTCTAACGCGTTTATGAGCAGTAGTAGATAGCTATTAGGCTCGCTTACAACCTCGATTACCAGCAGTAGCGGATTCGCCGAGAGGTAGCCTGAGGGCGTCAGTAGAGGCTCTAAGAGGCGGGCAACAGGGGTATACGTGCCTGAAACGTTGAGTAACCTTTGGGCGAGGAATACCGAAGACGATTATATTCATATTAATGGAATTAATAGAATTGATAGAATAATAAAAGAAGAATAATTACACAAATAGGTGGAAGGATTATTATCCAATCCCGAACGCGTCTGGTGTGATTACCATAACTATCATATTTGAATATTCATTTAATCCACCAATAGTAGGTCAAACTTTATTATTTTTACAGCGTTAGAAAGCGTATACTAAGCTCTATAATTTACGAAATTATAAAGAAATAGCATCTATAGGAAGCTGGTTATTTCAGAGTATAAAACTTCTATATATAAATTTTTAATAAGGGAGCTCGAAAGGGCTAGCGAGCTAACTCAGTTAGTCTGGCTAAAAGGCGTAATAACCTCGAATTTATAATTGGCTGCACATATAAATTTAAGATTTTCTAGTTCAGCCCTATCTTATTCTATTATATATACTAATAAATAATTTTATAATAATAATTTATTTTAATTTTTTAATATAATATAATTTTTTAGAATTATAAATTAATAATTTTATATAATATTAATTATAAAGATAATTAGAATTCTAAGTTAAGAATTAATATAATAATTAAATATATATAAACTTTAATAAAATCTTTTATTTTTTAAGATAATAATAAGAATTTATAAAAATATATAATTATTAATAATTAGATAAGAAAATATAATATATATTTATATTAAAACTATAATTATAATATAAATAATTTTATAATAATAAAAAATATTAATTCTTTAATATAATATAAATTTTTTAAATTATAAATTAAATATATTATATAATATTAATTTTAAAGATAACTAGAATTTAAAGTAGAATATAATCTTATAAATAATATTATAATTAAGAATTATATTATAAATTAAAAAAATTAATAATTTAATTATAAAGTTTTTTATTCTATTATTTATAGTAATTTAATAATCTATCTAAATTAAACTATAAGCTTTTAATCTATCTTTATACTTATATATAATTTAATATTATATAATTTTAAAAGTTTATATAAAAATAATATATTCTTAATTTATAATATTATATATTTATTATAAATTATTAATAATTAAATATTTATATTCTATTATTAGCGAATTTTATATAAAAATAATAAAAAGTTTTACTTAAAAAATTATTAGATAAAAAAGATTTTATCGCTTTCTATATCGTTTTAATAGTAAAATTTTATTAATAATACTTAACATTATTTTTAATTTCATCTATTATATCTAATAAAATTTATTAAATAAATCTTTAAAATAAAGCTTTCGAAATTAATAATATAATTAATTTTTAAAAATATTTAATTTCGTGAAAAGTGATAACTAGTAAATTATAATTAGAAAGATAATTAGAAATATATATAAGATTAAATTTACTATCTAAATA